TAATGTAAAAATGTTATTTTAATTCTCTGCTATCGTGCGGTCATACTTTGCAGAAGATCATCATTCTTTACCTGACGTTTCATGTAATCAGGGGATGGAGTTGGCGTGTGTTCCGTGACGGTGATGATAGGATTCGGTGCGGTGTAGGATTGACTATAAAACCGACTCTGTTTTCTCTCGATGCGAGTATCACCGATGTACCTACGAAATAGCATAGATCAGAAATCCAATTCGAATATCGTTTCGAATATCCTCATGCTATTTGCCAACGTGAGCCCTAATCAAGCACTATGCCTTTGTTTCTATAATTTCGATCTACGATCGTGAGCCTGTCATTCCGTCGACACATGCACGATGATTTTTTATACGACTTTTCGTATCAACGTTGCCCATACTATAATAATCGCATATCTTACAGACTGAAAATATATAATTATATAAAAGATATATTTGAAATAAATAGAAAGAGAAAGAGAGAAAGATCGAGTTTTATAGCTTTAATAATAGAGAAATAAACATTAAAAAAAGTAAAAACATAGATTAAATTTAAGAAAAGTATTCAGTAAGTTCTGAAAGTATTGAATTATCACATATTTCCAATTGGTGTATTAATTTATTCGAATAAGTTGTAAGAAATTAAGTAAAATTTTTATTTGTTCATCTAGTGAGTTTAAATTAAAAAAAGGGCAACGCCATTCGACTTCTGATTTATCTGATTGTACAACATGCATTAATATAACATAAAAACAGGGACGTTTCTACGATATAATCTTTTTATTTAAATAACTATTAGGATTAGAATATAAAGCAATAGATTACAAAAGCAACATAAAGAAGAATTTATTTATTTTGATAATGGATTTTAATTGGTGCATGATATAATTTTAATGAAGTGTAATATACGTCGTCAAAAATATTTAAAAGTGTCATAAAATAATGTAACTAAAATATAATATATATTTTAAACAAGAAAGGGAAGGAAACACATGATATAAACAAGGAAGGGAAAGAAACACATGATATAATGATTTTTTAACTCTAATTTAGGGTTAAAAAATTATTATATCATGTGTATATACATAAATTGTTAAAAAAAAATAGAGAAAGGAAGAAAGAAAGAATGATTTGTAAACAACGGAATCAATAAATACATTATTATTGAAAAATAAAACATTACACGATAAAAATAATTATTAATAAATTATTGTACGTAAGATTCATCAATAATATATGCAACGGATTAATGTGCCTCATGTGCCTTCGTGGATTTTTGACGATGTGCCGAAACGATTGAATTTCGGTGTGTTATTAAGGGGTAAAAGTGCGCCCTACCGAAAGCAGGAAGCTCGTAAAAGAAGCGTGTGAACCGAACTGCAGTACGGAACTTCCTTCGAATGACGTTGATGACTTACCCTCCCGCGGTCAGCTCGTTAATCAAGCAGCTGAGCACGAGTTCGGGGTGAAAGGGCGAACGAGAGAGAGAAAAGAGACACACACAGAGAAAGACCATTACGCATAAGTATTACGATAGGCTTATCGATATTTAAGCGCTGGATTAATTGTCGGAGAACGCGAGCTACATTCCTTGAACCATATATCAGGCCAATTATATCTAGCTTTCAACATATACCAGCAATTGCTTCAATTAAGATACAGTGTTTCTATTTTAACAAAAAAAAAACATACATTAAACTGTATTTAACTCTAATCAATCTTTTATTATAAATTGGTTAAAGTTATTAATAAATCTAACATATATGCATTGTCCACCCGATTTATGGTCGAATATATTATTTGAGATTGTCAGTGTTGGATAAATTTAAATCTCCATTTAATTTTATATTCTTAGTAAATATAACCAAAATTTAAAATTTGTTTATTATTATGTTTAATTATAAAAATAGCAAAAATATTTTTAATATATCTTTAAAGTGTCGTACTACATATGAATATTATTTTATTACAATTATTTATTTACTTTCAACACTGATTCTCTCCTATATTCGAAAGAAACTTTTGTATTCTAAAGAAATATTTATCTCTTATTGCATACATATATTGTCTAAGCATAACTACGTTCCTCTTGGCTATAATTATTATTACACAATTAAGAAATAGATATGTAATTGTAGCTTCTTAAATTAACCTACAAAAATATATTGTACGTAAATCTGTGCTATATAATCATTTTTCAAGTTTATTGAGAATTGAGAGCGAAGAAAAATATGCAAAATTATTTGCAGTAAATTAAAAAAGAAAATTACGTTAATTAAAATAAACATGTAATGCGCATATTTACGTACAAAGAAGATTGACGGTGACAGAAAGGAATTATATAGTGTTGAAGTTTTCTATTATTTTCTTTTTTAGGCAAAATCAGTAATGCCTACCTTAAGCTCGGCATACTCTTTCCTTTAATTAGATTTGTGGGATGCTTTATGTAATCGACATCCTTTGCCTCAAAAATCTTTGAACCGGTCGATGTTGGTCTCGTCAGATGATCATCTCCAGTATCGAGACTTGTATGATGTTCCTGAAAATCAGTGTTATGATGTATATACAATATATTAACAACAGACTTTTTAATTGCTAAATAAAAATTTAAAGAAACAAATAGATAAATTACAAAATTAATCTTGCATTACATTTACAATAAATACATTAAAATGTAATTATAATTCATACAAATATAAAGTAATCATTTTTGTTATTAACATTATATCAATCAATTCAAAGCCTTCATCATTTACCTGCTCAAACAACATCTTAGTTTCTTCTTGACCAATCTTCTCAAGTGCCTTTTCCGATTTCGAGAGCAGTTTTGTTTCTACGAAAGCCTTGAGATCGGCCATTTTCATGCGTTTCTTCGTTTTCTCGCTGGCGCGTCTTGTATGTCTCGAGTCGCCTTCGGGAGCTTTGCATTCAGTAGTTCTGAAAATGTGACCAAGTCTATACAAAAGAAGAGGGAAAATCAATCTTAAAGCGCTTAAAAATTATCACGATTGCATACTTGTCACCAGAGAGGTATCGCGTGTATCCGGTATCTCTATAAAATCCTTCAATACATCCTTCTTTTTACTTTCAGGGCTTTGATAAATCGAGACTTCAATTTTCGGTATAGGCAAAGAGTTGCTGCGGCGACGTGGAATCTGTTGCACTGAAGTTTCTTCGTTGATTCTTCGTAGTCTGCGCGATATATTTCAAGAACAATAAATTTATTCAAAACGAATAATAATCAGAACGTTATTTTTTTTCAAATATTTTTAAATTTGAGAAATCAAAGTCATTTTAAAATATAATCTATAAAAAGATCTCAATATAGAAGAATTATCTTATATCTTTGCATTTGTCAAATTTGTTTTTATATTAATATTCAGTTAAACATCTTGAGTATCAAATCAATTAATAGATCGCGCGTTAATTTTTGCAAAGCAACATCGATCCTAATTCATACGGGATAACTGACCGATAATATAAAAATTGAAGAGCCCAGTAAACGCCTTCCTCCTGCCATTGGGAAACGAACAGACATCTCAAAGTAGCCACGTCCAGAAAAGTTGCCGCGCGAACGTCCGAATCGATGGTTGTAGAGCCGGTGGTGTGTTCAGTGATCGTTGCATCAACGGGTTGACGTTGTGTCGAGAAACTTCCGCGTGACTTCGAAGATTCTTGTTGTGTCTCTTTCTCTGTCTTAAAAATTTTCTCTTCTCTCTCTTTGTCCACAGCTCTAATCGAAACATGAAAATTTCCTTTTTAAATAATCCTACACTTAATTCAACGATTGATTAAAAGTTGCGATTGTGAGGTTTAACTGACCCGGTTTTCGTAGCTTTTTCATGATACTGCTTGCACGTCTCCAATCCGGAAATTGCCGTGACCTGTTCTATCGTGAGCGATCTCGAGGAACTGGTTGTCCTGCCCATCGCGACATGGAAGATGCTGGCCTCGCCCTGCGGTAGCCACAAAAATATTATTTGCTCTGCGCTCAGTCTCAAGGCATTACCTCGTGCAACTCACTGCGAATATGGTAGAAACTTCTTTTACCCCGTCAAGCATTCTCTCCGACTCACTCAAAGATGGTAATCTGAATATTACCTAACGCAATACAAAATATTATTTGTCTAATAACACAATGATTAATGTTCATCGCAGTTTTATATATATGTAAAGTTACCACGTGCTCATCTTCCGCGCCAGAACTTTCCTCGGGAATCGTTTCCGGAAAGACCGTGTCTTTCGGTGACGACAACCAAGTACTCTGTTGCTGTTAATATTTTTACAAAATTATTTATTTTGTTTATAATTAAAAAACTTTAATATGACTTATTTTATTAGACTGTAAACTTACATCTTCATCGATTGTCTTTGAAGGCAATGGAGCACTTTGATCCGAAACCGATTGACTAGGTGGACTTTCGACATCTGAATAATGTTTAATCAAAGATAAAATAATGTAATATAATAAAATAAAGAAGATATATTAGTATTTTAATTATAAACAAAATTTTATGATCAATTTATATGTGTGTATTTATATAAAATTTTATATGTATATGAATATATAGAATTCTTTATTTAATTAATCAAAGAAAAAAGACTCACTTCCTCCAACAAAAACGTCATCCGACAACATGTGATGCTTGGCAGATTTAAAAGATTGGCTCCAATAAAGACGTGGTTTGGCACGGCAATGTGATGTAAAGCAAGATGCATCCGGATGTCGGCATTCGTACATGGCGGACCATATTTTTAGGCCGTTTTCTAATCGTAAATTCGTCTTGAAGTCGATGTCCTTTAAATGATTGCACAGAGGTGCAAACAGATAGATGAAGAGCTAGATCAAGGAAGAAATTCATTATTATCAAAATCTTGCTTTACTAGGTAAGTTCAATAACTTACAGTCATGGTAGGTATTGGAAACAAGTAAAAAAAGGATTTGATTGATCGGCTTCATTCTCGGCGCATTCTTCAGCTGAATCCAAGAGTATCCAATGAAGAATGTAAAGAAGAGTTGTTTCCATTGTGCCAAGTGTCTGAAAATCCTTCCTAAAAAATTTACAGCCACGATTTGTCACATGAGAATTCAAGAAAATCTGAAGACATGCTACTCAAATTTGACCCACCTATTATGCAAAAGACTGGCCGTAGCATGAAGAACGTAAGGAAGAGCGGCTTGAATTAAACGCCATCGTGGAACACTCCTCAATATCTCGCTCAACGAAGGCGTCAGATCATTGTGAAGATCCTGCACTAAAACTCTTTCGAGGCACTGTGGAAAAGGGAGAGAAACGTTTTAACAAAAGCTTAAATATTTTTCAAAATTGTCATTAGTATCAATTGCAAGTTTATCAAAATAACACGTATATCAATCTTTCAAAACTAATATAATTAATATTTTTTTTAGAAAATATATATACTGACCGTGCATGCTTCTTTCATTTCCTGTGCAAGCATTTTAACAATAAACAAACAATGTTAATCAGAAAATGATAAAATTTTGAAATAAATAACTTTGAATAAAATTTGCAGGCTAAATGAATTACTATAATGAATTATTATGAAAGAGATTATGAACAAAGGTAAGTGAAACGTTATTATACTTAATACATAAATTACATATAATTTTGTAATACAGTTTTTAATTGTGTTTTAAATAATATAAATATATTTGTACAATAATATAGATATATTTGATTGACAATAATGTGCGTGTACTAACTTTCAATACAATAACATAAATATTTAATAAACATTTAAAAATTAATTACATTGAGAATTAATTCGTGTTAAAACTAACAATTTTTTTTAATGTTGAATATACAATTAAGTTTGATTACGTCGTATAATAATTTTATTTCAGAGATTATACTGAAGAATTAATTTAGTACATTTAAAACTTTCTTGATAAATAGAAATAAACATGCGAAATATAAGGATGATGAAACCGCAGGAAGTGAAATACATTGAACATGAAAGCAAGCTCAGACAGATGTTAAACGGGCGAGCCAACTTACATGATGGCCTGGCGCATGTTGACAGAACTGCAGGTGACACGTGGAGGCAGCCGCGTGGAGAGGACATTTTGTTAGTGCACGTAAAGCAGATATTGCATAATATAGGATTGATATAAGAGGAGACAATCAATTGTATACATTGTATCAAATCTCCAATTTTTTCCGCATTAAATCTTTACACACAGATGAGAACCAATATACTTTTAGAATTTAATAGAAGTTAAAGGGATAGCGATAGGAATAACATAAAACAGAATGTAAAATATAGGAGTAGACATGTAAATATAATTATCTCTTATTTGTACAAATCCTGAGATTTCTTTCTCGGTTTGTTAATTATAAATAGCTTTGCAAATATATGTACATATAAGCAAACATATAAAGTTATTAATTCGATATGTTTCCACGCAATTCGTCAATTTTGAAAAATTTGATAAGTATAACAATGTGATACGTATTGTTCTTTATAATTATTATTTATGACGTATCAAAGATAAAATAAATTTACACATATAAAGCAAGCTCTGAACAAAAAGCACAATTACTTCGATCACAAAGGCGATCACGAAAGCGGAAACCGGAAGGAAGAAAAATTCTTCCGTATAATAAAGCAGTGTATTAATATATCCATTTAATCGAATCAACGTCTTAAGTTGATATTATTGGAAACACGCGACTATACTAATATCTAATAGAAAGAAGCGATCGGTTTTACGATTATAATTTAAATGTTTGTAATAATATTTTCATCGCTTTTTTTTTTAATCTGAGATAACATTTGGAATAATTATTGAGTCAATTATTACCGTGCAAGATGCTTCGTGAAGTTTTCCTAACTTAGCTCGAATAAATGGCCTGAAAGATAATAAAATAGATCGTTTACTTAGATATAGATGACTACGTTAATGTTCGTTTGAAAAATAACGAAAAATTCTGTATAATCAGCTGACCTTATAGAACGCCAAAGGAACATCTGAACCGGGATAGGTAAAGGGTACTCCTGCGTTCCTCCATCTAAAGACCGCCGTTTATTCATGATCGCTTTAAGCTGCCACTAAAATATCTTGAGATCAAGATTAAGTAATTTAATTACTCAAGCATGTTACTAATTAATCCGATGTTGATGCCGCCATCCCTATCACGTGTCTCACCTTGCAGAACGGATTCTTCCAACTTCAACGGCTGTACGCCTATGTTTTACACACCCTCGGTATAAAATATACGACACCCCATCAGCCCCCAGAATGGATCAATCCCGGAACGGGATTAGGGAACGTCGAAGCAAGCGTAAGAGAAACTAGGATAAAAAAACAATCTCGTCTTCTCACGCAAGATTATACACGCTCTTCTCTCACGCTAAAGCTCATTCCTCGCGATAACAGAAGGGGTAATTATCGCGCGATATCATCATCGCGTGTTAGACGCAGCCGCCGAAGAACGTCGACGCCGGGCATGACGTCGTCGAAGGATAGCGCCACACCGAGAGAAGAGAGAGAGAGAGAGAGAGAGAGAGAGAGTAGTATATCACGTGCCACTCGGCCTAGTAACACACTTCCGTCATTCCCTGTGGATGCCCAGCGCGACGTGGGTATGCATCCCGGCGTCGGGATAGCATGTAACTGAAGGGACGCACTCTACGCGCCTACACGTCCTCGCGGGGTGGGATAGTGAATGCGCGTGCGATTCTCTCGGAAAATCCAATGCGCCGGTCGTTCCATCGATCAGCCCAGGAATCTGCTGCTGGACCACCCCTACGGGGGGGGGGAGGCGAGCCACCCCACGTAGCGCGCCGCGCCACGTCCCTACCAACCCATTTACCCACCTACCCCATCCAGCTTGAGCGGCGCCCGATATAACGATGGGCGAGGCCATCTTCCGCGGAGCAATGACTGGCGAAGAACGCGCAATTTACTTTCTTGTAATTTACCATCCGCTTCGAAGCAGGGTGTGTACTCTTAGATTATAGATAGATTGATCGAAGGATAGCAACCGATAATTTATTTCTCATGTTAGATCGATCTAGCTCTCTCGCGTCATAAAGATCATAGCCATTTAGGATATGAAATATGCGATGATATCGTAAAAAAATAAAGAAGATATCAAAGGTGATGGAAAAACGTTTAAATGAGATCGATATGGAACCAACACGTACTCAGGTATATATATTTGGATTCTGTAATTAATTAATCTGCTTCGTCTTCCATTCACCGTTTAAGTTGACATCCTTATGTGTGTCGAGGCATTCTTCGAGCTTCTTGTTAAACAAATTCTCATCTTTCAACATCATATCCAATTCGAATATGATTTTGCGTGCAAACGTCGTTACGTCGCTTGTTTTCGAAGTTTCTTCAGGATTTACTGGACTGATTTCTATGCAAATTTCTGTATTACCATCTACATCATCGACTATTCTTGTCGCTTCTTCATTTATTGTTCTACATATGTCACGCCATAATTCTTTCTCATCAGGATGAAGAATTTCAACTAATTCTCGAAAATTGTCCCAATCCATATCTTTGCTGTTTTCCAGGATTTTACGATAAGTTGACAAAATCTCTCTGTCATTGCTAATAAAATTTTTTAACGACGCATCTTTATAAATAATTTGTCGTGTAATTTTTGTAGAATTATTTGCAAGTTTGTTAGAAGAAATGAGAACAGTATTGTCATTTTTGGTAAAACTCTTGGATTTAATCAGATTCTGGTTACATGTATTTAAATCTTGTTCTTTAAGCAAGCGATTCTTATCTTCTGATAACTCTGACAATTTCATTGAAATGCGATCATTCGCGCAATTATTTATTAACTTATTATCTATTTTGTAACACTTATTAGAATAAACAAATGCGGCATCTACGGATTTAGAATGCAGCAACTTTTCGTTTTTTAACACGCCGCTTGTTAAATATTTCTCGTAAAAAAATATCGAATCCTCATCCGACGATACAATTGTTTTGATTAAATGACAAACCTTCCTTCGTGTTTCTGGCGATAATCGAACCAGAACATTCGAATTACGCAGTTCGTTTATCGATCTTTTTGCCTTACCAGAATGTTTGTCCTTTGCAATTTGAGCTCTGACATGTCGAGCGATATCTAGGGAAGGTCTTGACGAAACTAATTTGCGACCTCGAGGAATATCTTCGTCGTCTATATTAAATATCTTATATTTTTTTTGTAAAAATTCCATTCGTTCGTGTATCGAATTCTCAACAGATGACGAGCTAAAGACCGTAGCATCGCTTTCCTTTTTTTGCTCCAACAGATCTTCGAGAGAATCCTTCTCCATGTAATTAGAACAATTATCCGTTTTTATTTTCTCTATTGTATTAGAATGTGGAATATTTGTAGAAAAGTTAACGTTTCTTCCATTATTATCTATTCCCATCGTAGGTAAGTAGTGATATTTATCTAAAGCAATTTGAGGTAAATGTCCTGATTCGTCGAACAACCAAAATCCTGCATCGCTTTGCGGGTAATCATCTCGAATGTCATACAAGACGGAACTCTGTCCATTTCTCGCAACTTCCAGGCGAGGGTTGCGCCTTTCTTGCAATTTTGAAAGAAATTCATCTTCTCTCTTATCTAACTCCGTGAATTGACCGACTGCCAAATATTTCATAGTATCAATAATTGGATAAATATCACCGTGCTTGTAAAATAACCCTTGTGAAGCTTGGATCTTTTGCGCGATATTAGAAAGCCGATCTCTTGCTAACAAATCGTCGATTTGCGATTTAGCTTCGTATGAAATTTCCCTTATGACTTCTTCCTTGTCAATACCAGCGGAAGCTTTTATCGTATTTGAAGATTCATGCTTTCTACCATTGTTTCGTACGGCACTATCGTATTTTTTATTCCTTTTATTCCTTGTTTCCATATTAAATAATTGATTAATAGCATTATTATCAAGATAAAATTTATTTTTAATATTGGTTTTTATATTATTAGTCTCATTTGAAGTTCCAATATTTCTTCTTGCTAGAAAAGCGCGTTCTTTAGTTGACAATAATTCCATTTCGCTCAATTTATCTGTATATTCAACTGGATTATTCATTTTAAGATCATTAATTCTTGATTTTACATTAGTTTTTAAATGTGGAAAACTTATTGAAATTTCTGATTCCTCATTATTATGATCACTATTAATACAATTGCGTTTAATCATTGTAGTCTCATTATGTTTACTTTTTGTTTCATTCATGCTTTCTTCAATAGCAGAATTTGATTTTAACATATAACTTATAACTCCGCAACGTTCGCATTTATAAAAAGACGAATCATTTAAAAGAAGATCCTCTAATTTTTTATCGTGATGTTGGGTTAACAAATACTGCAATGTTCGCAAAATCTCATTGCAGCAGTTATTAGTTGATGAAGAAACTTTAGGATCAGAAATAAAGTTGAGTATTTTGCAAACCGCTCCTAGCTCGAAGAAGGGTACATTTGATGTATTATTCATATCTTTATGTATTTGAAAATGTGTATCTTTTACATTTATTTTGTCTTTTATTTCAATGTATTTTTTTTCATTTTCATGTAATATGGATATCATCTGTTTGTCTGACTCTAAAGAAGAACGTGAAAAATCTTGATTTAATTCTTGATTTAATTCTTGATAGTTAAATGGCAAGGACGTGATTTTTAATCTTTTACAGTTTATATTCTCATTTCTTCTTTCGTTTTTATCAAATGGAAGATAGAAATCTCGTTCACTTTCTTGCTCATTTATAGTACTTAAAGTTCTTATAGAAGATGCTACTGTGTTACTCAAAGATGTAGTTTGAAATGTTTGAAATGTAATTGATGGAACCACCGTTACCTCACATGAATTATTAAAATCCATGATGATACACAACAATCATCTTCTTCTTGTGATAATACATCTCTGTCTACGTTGATTTCTAGTAAAGACGAATTACATCATTTACAGATTTTTAAATATCTTTCATGAATACCAATTAAATGCGTTATAATATATAATTTGTTCAATAAATAATTTTATGACCAATTGTGTTGCGCAGTTATTCTTCAACCTTAAAACAGATTATGAAAAGTATATCTTCATGAATTTAACACTTATATTATTTAAATTAAAATTGGATTATATGTACTCGATAATATTACAAGATGTATTTCCATCAGACTAATGTACAATTACATAATGAATATAGGTTAAGTTTGACAAGATTAACATGAAATTTGCCATTTAAATACTTCTCTCATCAATTTCAACTTTACAAGAACTGATAAAGATACCTTTTCAATTATCACTCATCGCTCATTTTTAAATCAGCGATAAAAACGTCACTGAATTGTCAGTAGTCAAATATCGCATGAAAAGCGACCATCGATCATTTCAGAATGCAGCAAGATTGCAAATTATATAAAAAAAATTAATTTTGTAGGGAATAAATGGCATGAAACTTAAAAGATTGTGTTCTAATTTTTGTACAAAAAATATCAAATATACACAATTTACAAATATATTAAACAAAAAACATTTTCGTACGCGGCGATTAAAAACTGTTGCGTTGTGAATAATCGTATGCGATCGATATCTACTCTCGAGAAAATTAACAAATGACTGTTTAAACGTCCTATCAGAATCGATGCGTGAAAGAGGTTGCCTTTTGTGAGAATGCCCCAAATCATGGCAGAGGCCTTTGCGAGAGGACTGCTAGACAAGATAATGGTACAAGTTCTGGACGTCATAGATTGCGATGCAGAGGATGGTAAGGTGCAAGAGAGAGAGAGAGAGAGAGAGAGAAAGAGAGACAGAAAGCTCGTCTGTACGTTTCGTGAATATAACGGCGTTGAATAACGACTTTGTTACATACGTATACGATGTTGTTCATTGACAAACGTTGTTCTGTAACAGCATGGTCCTCTATCGCGATCGATATACGTCTCGCGATAATAATTGCGTTCAGACGCGTATAATTATCGGCATTAGATGCAAATAATCTATACACTATGAATACCATTATTAGGAAAATCCTGGGAAGAACATGTCAACGAGGAAACAGACGATGTACAACCGGAAGCCGGATTTGTACACGGTAGACCGGAAGCAAACGAACATACACATGTAAATTATAGCAAGGCCGAGGAGATAGAATTGATCGCGAAGATAGTTCGTGACTTGCGCGACATACAAATCGGAGATTCGCGTTATGTACTTCCGCCTTCATTGTTAGCAGTGGAGAAACAGGTAATTGGATATGTAACTATACGGAAGTCAACCAACTTTTCGAGACATAATTATTCTATTATAATTAGTTGCGAAGATTATAGTTATTTAGGAAAGTCATGGCTGACAGAAATATAAAAGACTTCAAATATGATAAATCTCTTTTAATAAGTTGTATAATAGAATATTAAACTGCTTTTTTACATAAATGTAAATGCACATATTGTTTCTTTTTTTTTAATTTTACTTCAAAATTATTTATTTTAATAAATTATTTATTTCTTAGAGAAGCTTAACATTGCGTTGACTTTAGCAGTTTTATTATATCAAAATTATTATAATCGTATTCGTTTTGAGGTTAAAGTATATAAAATAAATATACTTATCTAATTTTATTTTATACAAAGAATAAATATCGTATTTCTGTACACTTATTTTTCGTCACATTTGGCTTTAGACGAGCTGTACGGCCGCATTTGCAAAGTATTCACGTGCAAGAAATCTCGCGTGTGCAACGTGTTCGCGATTCGTTTTAGCTTCCCGCTTATGCCGCATTAATTCCACATGCAATTTCCGCGTGCATACAACGACAAGAAGATTTACTCACGAGACACGTGCTTGTCTTTATTTGAACAGGTGAAATGCGCTACGTGCAATGTCGATGGTGTGTCGTTTGCAAATCCAGCGGCCAATGTCACCGATATTCAACGCACGACCCAGGGTCAAGGTGATACACACCAAACTGTACACACAACGAATCCCGAGACTGAGCTGACGGATCCGACGAAGGTAATTCAGAAGAAGAAGGAAGGTGAGGTAGCCAACGAGGCGACCAGTGTGTCCATCGGTCTGTTACAGCAGATGATCGAAGACCTGGAGGACAAGACAGTTTGCTCCGAAGATAACTCCTCTTCAAATTCGATCAGTAAGGAATGCATCACTGTTTGGGAAGAAAAAGAGGAACTGATTAGGTCTATCGAGGGAAATGCTGGCAATACCATGGCAGAGACTCTTCGAAGTAGCGAATCAATCGGTCGCTTTCGCATCGTCGAACTGAAGCATGACGAAGAACTGAAGTCTCACTCAAGTCAACATGTGGCGTCCATCTCGAGAGAACCCGACCTTGAAGAAGTCCAGATCGAGAAACGCACGTCAAACTCGTTGTCTTCATTAAAACCATCGTATAATGACGGATCCGCAATTGTCGATCAAATACTGCCCATTGATGATGCAGAGAAGCGAAAAACATTTGACGAAGCGAAAAAGAGGAAGAAAAGTCTAGGGAGTCGATTGAGGAAACTCTTCCGTACTGTCTTTGGCCGCCGGAAGAATTGATGCTAAGTTCCGGAAGGAACTTGGCACTTGTTACCTTGCGATTTACCTCAAACAACGACTCTCATTCGTTCATACGGCAGCTCGTCAGTCGTACGTTTTTTAGAGGGAAACGTCTGTGAATACAGCGAGTAAAAATAACTGACCGGTGTGTAGTCATCAGCTGCTGGTCCCCGTAACTTCGGTGTCTCACACGACTTCGGCGATGCGTGAATCAGATTAGATATCTCTCTGATTATATATTTCTAGATGATAATTGCAACGTTGTGTACACGAACCTGCAAAATTCTATAAAATATATAATAATGATCTTACATAATGCGTGTCACATTTCTGCGGTAGCTTAAGTGATTTAGTTTAGAGAATGATAGCGATGATAGAAAGTAGATTCGCGTCATCGAAGACCAAGAATATATTTTTGCCTAATGCATCCACCGGACGTTGCGGATCTGGCAATCTGACATAAGAATGTTGTCGTCGTCAACATAGAAGTCTTATTTATCTCAGTGGGAAGAGGCATTTCTTCGATTCTTGCCTCTCATCGCTTCTCGAACTGTTTTTGGATCGCGGTGTTGCCATGCTCCGTCGTCGATGGTCCGGGCTGAGACTCTCAGAGATCTGGACCTCAGCGTCATTTCAGGGTGTCCTCGTAGCGCCATCTGCAGAAATAAAATGAGTAAATTTGGTAACACCGGGAACCACTTCTGGTTCAAGCTTCGTTCGATCAACATCCACTGGTACCAGACGATCAACAATGGTAAGTCTCGATACATTCCCAGCTCTTCTCTTTCACAGTTGAAAACCTTTCTTTGATAGCTTTCTCGAAAGTGATGTAGATATAAAAGATTATAGTTAAATTATTATTTTATTAATTTTAATATATGAATTGAATTGTCGAAATGGAAAGCTTCAACATAATGAAAAAAATCTGTATTTCAGGCAGACCTCAGCAGCAAAGATGTCGAAAGTGAGTAAAGTAAATCTTCAAAAAGTTCTTTTATTTTCAACGTGTTCCACGTATAAATTGTACGGAAATTAACGAAGATAGATTAATCAATTTACATCAGTGAAGTTATAAGTGATTTCTAAACGTAACTTTGCAGCTCTGAGTCATGCGATCAGAAAAAAGTGAGACGAGTTTAAATAGAAAAATTTAACCAGGGCAATAAAATTTGTGCCAAATCATATCACTTTATTAATTAGTGACCATTATTAACATTAAAACAATTTTTATAGAAATTTTTATTAAAATTTATAACATAAATAATAACATTAATAAATTAAATATTTCTAGAAATGTTTTATGTTCTCTTTAATTAATAAATAACCATATCTTTAAAAATGTTATTGTTTTATATTATTTAATACTATAATAATTGTTAAATTATTTAACAAAATATTTAAAAGTGATTGCTATTTCTAAATTTAACACTAAACATTTTTTCTACAATAAATTAAATATATGAAAAAGGTGTTGTCCAACTTCTTGAAAAGTTAAAGATTTTTTTTTTGTCAAAGTTTATATCTATTTATATATATTATATCTATTTATATATTTTTTTAACAATTCTTTTTTAGTAGATCCAATAATACGCAAATTTTTTCACGTCGTATTGCGTGTCATTTTTGAAGTTATATAACGACTCATCGGGTAGATGAATGCGACCGTTCCGTAGCGCGTCAAAAATAGGTTGGTAGGCTGTTCTTATATGGTTCGGCGGGGGTAATCTGACCCACTGCTTCCACCACCGGCTTCTTCAATCGGCGGGTCGGTGGGGCTCTCTAACCATCTCTCTCGAAATAGAAGAATATTTTTGAACTAGGTACGCACGCGGTACCCCGTGCTTACGATTGGTATTAACCCAAATTTCGCATTTCGTATATTTAAAAGCTGAACCAAACACATGATGGCAAACTATATCATAAAGCTAGTATTTAATCATAGAGTGATTTGATCATTGGCTCAAATTCCTTCACAAAGATATTTACAACTAGAAAAATGCATACGAAATCACTCTTTTTGTCGAAAAGGGGCAGAGTTCGCTTTCTCCATTTACGATGAGGACGGTACCAACGTCATCGATGCGGTTAATCTTGGCAATGTCCTTCGCGCGTTGAACTTGAACCCCACGAATGCAACCATCGAGAAATTGGGCGGCACGAAAAAGAAGGGCGAGAAGAAAATGAAACTGGATGAATTCCTGCCTATCTTCAGCCAGTGTAAAAAGGACAAGGAACAAGGATGCTATGAGGACTTCCTCGAGTGTTTGAAGTTGTATGACAAACAGGAAAACGGCATGATGCTCGGTGCAGAATTGTCCCATACGCTCCTGTCACTTGGTACGATTAGCTCTCTTTATAATTATTTAAAGCGTATAAAAGCGTATAAAAACTTAATAATTAAAACAACTTTTTTATTTTTATTATGTAATTACATTATACATATAATTTTATAATATTATAAATTTTTTTTAAGTAGATTAAAAATCTATTTATATGTAAGTCTTAGAATAGAACCGCCTGTACGCAGCTTCACAATATTGCAAATATAATAAACATTAATTTATAAATTGACTTTCAGAAAGAAGTTATGTGTAATTCATGAACGCTCTATCTGTGAGAGAAAGAAAATAAATTAATATTACTTAAATATTCGCATTTGTCATAGGTGAACGTCTTACTGACGCGGAATGCGAGGAAGTGCTGAAGGACTGCATGGACACAGAAGACGATGATGGTTTCATCCCCTATGCCCGTAAGTATCGAATGAATCCATGAATCGGTCATCGATCCATGAATGCGTTCCCCGAGATAGACGAAGAGTGTTAGATCCCACCTGCATTTATAAATCACGTTGATATATACAGCACGTTAGTTTAAGAAAAATTGTTGAAATCCCTATCTATTCTTTAAGCCCCCTAAATTTGTTTTATTAGAGTTAGAAAGTCCCCCTCGTATATATAATATACAGACCCCCATATATAATGTAATGATAAACCCTTTAATTTGTAATATGGCCCTCCGGTAATTTCCGGCAACGTGACAAGACTCCCTCGGATTCGATTTGTTCCTTCTCCATCGTTTGACACATTTTCCACATTTTTGTGTTTCGCAGCCTTCTTGAAGAAGATGATGGTGCTGTTGTAAATGGTCGAGGTGTTATTCAGACAATGATCGTCCATCGTGAGTACATCCAGTAGCACGTGACTCCGTGATTGTCTCTCCTTCTTCTGTCTTTTTCTCTCTGTCTCTCTCTCTGTCTCTTTATCTATTAACAAAATCTCGTTTTCATTTTCTCACTCAGCATATTTCAGAATTTATAGGACGCAGCGTTGCAGCAGCAACAGGGATGCTGGAAATCGATAACCCGCTTCTCGCGCAGAAACGTACGAAGATTTTGCTCGCGCGCGAAGTCAACGACCTGACAAGATCGTCGAGAAAAATTACGTGGAATAAAATTAATTGAATCGCTTGCAAAAAATTAAAACAAAACAGAAAGGACCTACCTATTGAACAAAACTTTTTTTAAAACTTGTCTTACAGATTTTAAATGGGATTTAATTTCGACTTTATTAAAATGTTAAAAATTAAAAATTTCTAATTAAAAATTTCTAATTCTTTAATTTCCTTCAAAAAAAAAGAATAAATAATTAGACCCTAAATCCATTGTATTACATGCATTTTACTTTGATTACAAAATTGCATAAATTACCATTCTTCCGTGTACATATATGATATTTCTATTGTAAGAACAGTTCTTAACTTTCTAACTGTTCCATTTCTTCGCTATATAAATTATTAATGCTTCTCTGTATTTATTTTATCTCTATCGCTTCTACGTGTTTATCGCTTCCACATGTTTTGCTATTGAGAGAAGTCTATATGGTAGCACAAGAAACTGAGTACTGACTTTGCCGATATTTGAATGAGAAATCGTCACAGCTTTACGCATAGACTAATTCTCTATCTCTGCCTTGAAATACTCGTATCGTCTATGAGAACAATTGCTTGACTCGTCAATGTTCGCGATTTATCTGCGTAGAAAAAGGTATTGATCATCTCATTTTGTTCGCAGCGTTCCTTCGTAATCTGTGTGAGAGGGCGGCAGCGCCAAACGACGAATAGTTGGATGATCGCTGTCAACATCTATCCGCCAAGCTCCACGTCGACGATGGACACATTCGCCATATTCGCTCGTCATATTCACCGTCCTTCTCATCCCGCCGCTGAATCACGCGAGGATCCATTTAATAATTTGCATGTGAATCGTGATCCTGAAATCAACAACGTCGAAGCGCCAGCAGCATTTTATCGGGAAAAAGCAAGATAGGAGAAAAACCTTCACGATCATTGAGTTCAAAAAGAAGATCATTTCATTTGGAACGCACGCAACATACTCATATTACTCGATTTGGTTTCATATATATTGTTAAATTTGCAGAATACGAAAGTATGTGTATCTTAATAGCAACATTGTACAAAGTCGAATGAAACGATCGGTATTAATTTACTTCTTACTGTTACTGTAATAAATCGCTCCTCTCGAACCAACGGAGAGGATTAAAAGTTGTCTATTATGCGTCTTCTTGAAAATATCCCGTTTGATACACACAGTGCCTTCTTCTGATATTTTTTAATTCTTCTGTTTAATATAATGTAATTTTCAATGTAATATGTCACGAAGACTATTAGATTAACTTAGATTCTTTGTCGCGTTGCGAGAATATAAATCTCGCTATTTTTGTCCGACTGACATTTTCTTGCTCTACTTAAGCAATCGCGTGAGAAACATAGACAACAAGGCATGCCATTGCCGAAATCTATTTTATTACTGCGTCAGCACGTTGGACTTCCGTCATACAAAATGTAATGCTAGTATAATGTCTCCTCTAAACTTTAATCGTACATCATACAACACGAGATAATTATTAAAATAGATCTTCTTCTTCTTTTGTTCGGAATATTTTGTATACGTATCATACGTTATAATTTAAGTACTTCGAAACTATCGAAGTTGTGTCGAAGAGTTGTCAAGTCTAAAGTTTTGAGAACTGAAATCGATAAACATAACTTCCGTGTAGAACCGCGAATGGAATTCAGCTGAATAAAATTGAAGTTAATGGAAAACGATAAATCTCACGATTCGCAGATTAATTTAGATCGAGACTGGAACAAATTCATACTGACACGAGTAAATCGAGAAAGATCTTCGATTGATCTCCGATCATCCCATTGCGATCATCCCATACACGTCTCTCCTCAGCATCCGCAGAGCGAGAGCGCGAGGAGAACGTGGCTCGATCGATAAATCGCGTTTAAGCGCGGATTTCGCGCACAATTTCTCTCCTCTCCTCTCGTGTCGCTCGTCATCGTCGCGTATGTACCTGCCTAATGACGGAGCGCGTTTGTTGTGGGTGGACGAGCACGACGCGTTCGTTCGTACGCGCTCGGCAGGCTTCGCTTACAGGGACAGAGGCAGGCGTGGGGCTGCAGCTTGGTCCCGGCAAGCCGGCGGCGGCGGCGGCGGCGGCGGTGGAGGCGGCGGTCGAGCCAGTCGGTTCAAACGCGTCGGTTCAAGCGCGTTGCGCGTCTGCCTCTCTGGTCGTCCCCGAGTGGTGTCATCGTCTGTCGTTCACTGTCGCAGCTCGTTTACTTCTCATCCTCCCTCGTTCTCGCGTTGTCTCCTCGCGTACGTGTGGCACATCGGCGGATTCTGGTTACGGCCAGGTCGGCGCAACGCGCGCGCGCGCGAAACGTTGAAGCGGAGTGCTCGACGCGAAGTGAGCTCGCGAGAGGAGAGAAATCTCCGGGGCAGACCCCAAGACAACCACCGCCTAGATCGCCCCCCGAGGATGACGGACGTTCAGGTGAACACGGGCAAGGATATCGCCAGGCTGCAGCAGAGCGAGACGGCCGCGGCGCAGCAAACAGGTTGGTCCCGTTTCGCGGGCTCCTCCGCGGTTCCTCCACGCGTTGACGTTTATTTTCGCGACCGATGACAACCTTGAGACAACCATCCGTGGTCCATGGGCATCGCCGATTGGAGGAACGCGAGCGCGCGCGCGCTTACCGCCATTTTGACCCAAGTCGCATAGAGAGAGGATTTAATCTCGCGGAAAAATCACGCTTTTCCGCTTCTCGTATTGTCCTCGCACTGCTGATCTTCTCACGCGATTATTAAAATGATCTGCGTGTCTACGGAATGATGTTTTTGATCCGCTCGCGCGTTGCGGGCGCGATCCAAGGAAATGCGCGCGATATCAAGGACGATCTCTGATTGACGACGCGATTTTACCCTTAAATATTCATTAAAACTGAGACGTGAATGTGAAATCATTTCATTAAGTTTCTTTCCGGAAATTAAAATTATTTCAGTAGGATTATAAGAAAAGTGAATTTCCTGAAGATCTTTATTAATTAACTTTCTAAAAACGTTGATGGGTAACTTTTTCTACTATTATTTTATTTCAATAAAATACTATTCAGAATATAAATTGGATTGATCTTTTTTATTGAATTTATCACACACAACATAGATGATTCTTTTCCTCTACTTGATTCTCTCATCAATAACTTAATTTGTTACATAATCTGTTGTAATCTTGACTTTTTACTACATCACACGCATATAATATTTGCATGATTACATCGTAATAAATTACTTGTAAACTGGACATGTGTATCTTTTTGTTTGAAATCTTGCCACGGTGATCCATTATCAAGCAAAATTTTATGGTTTCGAAATGTTTATCTTATCTATGTTTTATTTACATTTTAAACATGTTAAATAACGATGAATTGTAACCATTTAAATAAAGAAGACATAAAATAACGAAATGGATATATTCTATTATCTATTTTAGTATTGTCTATTTATAACTTTAAAATGTTTTAAATGCACACTGGAAATCAATCCTCTTACTTGTTTTTCAATGATAAACCCTGACAAAAAAATGTATCGCGCGATGTATTAATGTATAAGAAATACTATTGTAGGAAATAATACGTAAGAAAACGTTGCAATATGCAAAACTATCTGTGGTCCATATTTATCAATTCATAAATATAATTATATTTATTATTATATTTATGAATTTATCAATTCATAAATATAAATTCATAGTTCCAAGGTTTTGTCGACTGTCAGGAGGATAAAATACATTTTTATTGATAAAAGATAAGAGGAAATATGATATAGAACGTGATATAAGTTCACGATATACTTTATTCCAGAATCACATGCACAATATATTTATATTCATACATACATAAACACAAACGGTACCACATTGAATACTTTTCCAATTGCACTTATGTCAATCTATTTATGTTATGGATTTTTGCTTACGAAGTCGCAAGCGAAATATTATAAAATATTACACGGAGCGCCTGTCAGCATTAATTATCGAAGAGATTCGAACACACGGCCGCATGGGAACCGGCAAGAAGTATCATTACGACGCTTGCATAGATTTATGAGGAAGACTGTACGGTGGCCTCTGGGGGCATTATACTCGGAGCGATGAGAAAATCCAGTATAAAGCCATACGACTGGGAAGCTTTTTTAACCACCACTTTAATCTCAGTCGTGCTCTCCGAGCTGGTGCTCTCAAACGCAATTGGCCTCTTCTGCTCCGACGGAATCAATTCCGCGATACGGAAATGATTATGTGCGGCCGTGGGAAAAAAATATTGGACTTTCGTTCGTTACCAGCAACACACTGCGGAGAAATTCAATAGCAGTCTACTGTCGTACCTGGCACGGTGTACCTGTAATTCACAAATTTTTCTCTCTCTTCCTCTCTATTTAAACTCGCATGACATTTACCATTTCACGTGATAGCAACAGAGAAACTCAAAGTAGGAGAAAAAGTCCAAAATTTTTTTTTCGCTTCGAGAATTTTCACGAGAATTACATTCTGAGTGATTTGGAAATGTCGAGGAAGTAACTTATTCTGTTGATCGTCAGAGAGCTCGGTAATGTTCGTGTCGCAGTTTGCTATAAATCAAGATCGACCTACGTCAAATGGATCCTCAAGGTCTCGATGATGAGTACATGAGCGATTACGTGAGCGATCGTGAGTTCTTTCCGCGAGTGGATTTTCACTCCGAGAGAGCACCGGTACTTCGTAACTCTCGGACTTATCGTTAAACAAACTTTAATACGAGGTCACGATAAGATCGTCGAATTTTAACATGAGAGGAGTCGGCTTCGGTTCCTTGTGACAAATGGAGCAGAAAAATCGGCATACGAAAAAAGGATCGGCCAGTCGCGATCGACCAATTAGGAAATTGATGAGCGTCAATGAGCTAACGATGTTTTGTAGACGTGTAATTGTGGGAATTGGCAGGACTCGTCTCCGATGATAGTTATGTTCGGGATTTTAATCGGATGAGTGTATCATAGCATTCTCGAATGGAACGATGCTTTGGATAGACATATCCGTTATTTGTCCGCAACTTCCTGATGTAATCGCGAGGATTCAGAGGAGATTTTGCAATCAAATCACACAGATATGACCGATGTACCGATTATATTCCATTATCTTCAATAAGAAAAATTTTTACTTTTCACATTCCTGCCTTAGAAAAAAAGTTATATAATCAGTATTATAACGTCAAAATTTTATAAATTAATATTGTTTTAATTTTCCAAAACATTTACGCATAGTTTGCAAAAATATTATACTATTTAAGTTACTTTATGGCGGGCAATTGTGTAAAGGGCAATTTAAAGGATTAAGTCACGATAACATTAGAAAGATATGATCTCTCTATGCAATCTCAATCTGACGTGACGAATCTGCGTGACTGATCTGATGGCGGGATCAGTTCTCCACATTGTTTATTTGGTACAAACAGATCCTCTGCCGCTAGTCATTACACTTGAGATTAATGGCTCGTAACCAGGCGACGCGACGCGCGAACTCAGTGGAGTTACGTGAATACTTAACGTTATGCTACGAGGCCAAGGTTCTGCTCGTTACCCACGTCCCGCTTTGGGCCCTAACTGACTGATTATTACTGAAATACGCGTCACATGTTATATTTGCGAACCCCAGCTTGTCCATTGGTGCTTGTCCATCTCTCACCTATGTCTTTTTATGAGAATAAAAAAAAGACTGAAATTTTTATTTTATTTCATACTACACATTTCTCCATTAATCATGTTTTGGATGTAATTGGATCGTTTCGCTTCGATTTCATATTTCGGATTGCCATATTCCCAGCGGGATATCAAAGAGCGAAATTGAAGTACCTGTTGCGAAAAGCGCGATGAAATCTCGACGTCGTTCGATCTTACGCGAGCTTCGACAATGCGTCGCATTTGATGCACTTTGCATGCGACTTACGTCAGTTGATTTTCGACGCACGCTACCGGTAATTATCCGGCCTCGGTGGAGGCGCGGATGAAAGAGTCGAGCCAACTCGGAGAGTGGATTACGCTTCGCCCGGCGCACGATATCGACCAAACTCTTTGGCGAAACATCGTAACGACCTGCCGCAAAATTACGAAACGCCGGCATGTGCTCGGTGTTCCATTAGCGGGATCGTCTTCGTTGGCAGCCGTTC